GGGACACCCCGGACACCCTGGGACACCCCGGACACCCCTGGACACCCCTGGACACCCCCGGACACCCCGGACACCCTGGGACACCCCCGGACACCCTGGACACCCCCGGACACCCCCGGACATCCCGGGACACCCCCGGACACCCCCGGACATCCCCAGACACCCCTTACCATGTCGGCCAGGGCCACGTAGAGGAAGATGCCGGCGGTGCCGGTGAGGACCCAGGGGGTGAGGGGGGTCCCGCTGTGCCCCAGGGCCACCCCCACGACCACCCCCAGGCAGGAGAGCAGGGCCGAGAGCAGGTTGAGGAGCAGGACGGAGCGGGGGGCGGTGCCAGCCCGAAGCAGCACCGCCAGGTCACCTGCGGGCAGGTGGGTGGGTGGGTGGGTTGGGGGGGAGCTGAGGGGTGGGTGGGTGGGTTGGGGGGGAGCTGAGGGGCTGCCACGGCCGGGGCAGGGGGAGCAGCACTTACCCAGCTCGTGGGGCAGCTCGTGGCAGAGCACGGCCAGCGCGGTGCTGAGCCCGCTGGAGAGGCTGTGGGAGAAGGCGGCACCTGCGGGAAGAGGGTCCTTCACCCCAGACCTGCAGGGACCCCGTGCCCTGGGCACCCCCTGCCCCCTGTCCCTGTGCCCCCCTGTTCCCCTGTCCCTGGGCACCCCCCCTCCCTCCGTGCCCACATCCAGCTCCGTGCCCGTGCCCAGCTCTGCCCCCTCACCGATGGCCAGCCCGTCCGTCAGGTTGTGGATCCCGTCCCCCAGCAGCACCATCCACACCATGTCGGTGGCCCTGGGGCCGAGGGGCAGCGCGGGGCCGTGGGAGTGTCCATGGGGAGGTTCACGGGGGGGTCCGTGGGGCCTCAGCTCCAGCTCCGGGTCCGTGTCTGGTGCCCTGAGGTGTCTCAGCTCGGCCCCTGCGGCGGGACGGGCACACGGTGGGTGCCGGGGCTGGGGGCTGTGGGTACTGTGGGGCACTGAGGGGCACAAGGGGGGGGTCGTACCTCCTCGTGACGGTGCCAGGACCCCCGTGGGGGTCTCTCCGTGGGGGTGTCCCTGTGAAAGAACCGAGGCGTCGGGCACAAAGCCGGACCCGGTGGCAGCCCCGTCGCCCGCCCCGTGACCGTGGCTCCCACCCCGTGCCCGTGGCTCTCACCGTGGCCTCCCGCCTGCGCCGCAGCATCCCCAGGAGCAGCTCCAGCAGGAAGAGCAGGTAGATGCCCCCCAGCACCGCCAGCCCCTGCAGCACCGCGGGCCCCGGCCCCGACGACGTCTCCTGGTGCCCTCCCTGGGCCTGGACACGGGTGACCCGGCGGGTCAGGGCACCCGGACACCCCGGTGTCCCCCAGGGTGCCACCTCCCCTCCGCGGGGGTACCTACGTGGGGCCAGAGGTGGAGCAGGGCGTCCCCACAGAGGGTCCCCACGGCCAGGGCCACCAGGAAGGCCAGGAGGGAGTGGAAGAAGCCGCGGCTCAGCAGCGGGACCAGGACGACGGCCAGGGCCGACGGGAGGCTGACGGAGGCCACGGCCAGGAGAGCCCAGCCCAGAGCTGTGGGGAGGGTCAGGGGGCACGGCCGGAGCAGGGGGGCACGGGGAGAGGGGGTGTGGGGATGGGAGGTGGTCCTTGGGGATGCGGGATGGGGACCCCGGGGAGGCAGGGATGGGGAGCTCAGGAATGGGGACCCCAGGACCAGGATTGTGGGGGTGATGGGAATCTGGGGATGGGGATTGTGAGGGGGGGGCACTTGGGGTCGGAGGGACGGTCATTGTAGGGGTGGGGTTGGAGGGATCCAGGAATGGGGACCTGGGAAGCCGATGGTGGAGGAGCCAGGGATGGGAATGCACGGAGAGGGTCCACGGGGTCCATCTGATGGGAGAGCAGGGGCTCAGGGAGCAGGGACAGGGGACAGGGGACAGGGGGACCAGATGCTCAAGGAACCTGGGACGGGGCTGCAGAGATGGGGGGCACAGGGATCAGACCCTGGGGCACGTGGGGACGCAGCAATGGGGTGAGAGGCTCTGGGGGACCCGGGGACAGACAACCCGGGGCCGGGGGCCTGGGAGGGGTTACCCCGGGCTGGGGTTACCTGGCCACAGGCCCCCCCCCCGGGGGAGGCAGCGTCACCTCATCGCTGTGCTGGATGCAGACGCGGCTGTCAATCTGGTAGAGCAGGGCCGGGCACAGGAGGGTGAACTGCTCCGGCGTCAGCTGCGACGCCGAGTCCAGCCCGAAGTTCACCAGCAGCTGGGTCACGTTGAGGCACTGCAGGACCAGGGGGGGGCTGCCGTGAGCGCGGCCGGGGGGTCCCGGGGGAACCAGGAGCAGCCGGGGGGCCCCGGAGGCTCCCGGAATGCGGCGGCGGAGCGGGACGGTGTGACCCCCCCACTCCACTCATGGGACGGTGTGACCCCCCCCGCCCCACTCACATCATCGTGCGGGTGGTCGGCGCTGGAGTGCTCCAAGCCCAGGACCCTCCCCAGCAGGCTGAGGGTGGGCTGGTACCGCCGGGGGGGGTCCCCAGCCCCGGGGGGATCGGTGGGCACCGGCTTCGCCCAGCTCTGCGTCCGGGAGGGCGGGGGGCTGCGGGACACCGGGGGGCTGCGGGACACCGGGGTGATGAGCCCCCCGTCCCACCGGGGTGTGGGGCAGCCCTCCCGGGGGCTGTGGGGGGGGGATCAGGTACCTGTGGGGTCGGTCGGTGGCCGGGGGAGCCGCGTCCCCGCCGTGCTCCCAGGCCGGGTGCCGGTGCCGGTGCTTCTCCTCCTGCACCTCGAGCAGGTCCAGGTGACTGACGTGGCCGTGGCCCAGCTCCTCGTGCTGGATCTGCACCACCTGGACTCGGCCCAGCCCGAGGCTGCCCAGGAGCCTCGCCAGCCCCTCGAAGGGCAGCGTCCCGTTGGCCCCGTACTGCCCGAAGAGCTGCTGCAGGTAATACCCGTGCTCCTGCTCCTCGGGCAGCGGCCCCGGCGGCTCCGGCGTCCCCCCGACCCCCAGGGCCAGGAGGAGCCCCAGGAGGAGCCCCAGGAGGAGCCCGGGGGGGCCCATGGGGCCGGATCCGGGGGGCGGCGGAGCTGGGGGAGGAGGGGGACAACGGGGTGAGGGTGGTGGGAGATGTGGTGGGCGCAGCCCCCCTGCCCGTGGGCGCCTCCCGGGACGTGGGGTGGTCCCCCCGAGTGGCCCCCGGCTGCACTTTCCTGCCACCCGTCCGTCCGTCCGTCCGTCCGCCCGCAGGGAAAGCGACAGGCGACCCCAGGGTCACTCCCGGGCCACGTGTCCCACCCCAGGGCTCAGGGACACCCCGGGCAGCGGGGCCGGGGCGAGGGGGGCTGCCCCTGTGCCCCCCGAGGGCTCCCGAGGTGGGAGAGGGGGGCGGTGGGGACGGTGCTGTGGTGGGGGGCACATGGTGACCCTCGTCCTCGAGGGGAGGTTTTGCAACGGGGGCCGGTTTTGTGAGGGAGTTAATGTTTCACCAGGCGGGAGATAAAAGCCCTCGGCACCCCCCGGCTCCCTCCTCACCCCCCCACCCCATCACCCCCAGCCCCACATCCCCCAAACCGGCTCCCCCCTTCCCAGCAGGGGCGCGGGACAGGCGCACGTGGGGATGGGATGATGGGACGGAGGGATGGAGGGACGGAGGGACGGAGGGACGGAGGGAGGGAGGGATGGCCGCCGTCCTCTCCCACGTGGGGCCGGGCCAGGATGGAAAATCCCGGGAGCCAGCGCCCCCCCCACCCCCCCCCCCGCCCCCCCGGGGGCCCCCGCCCCCCCCCCGGCCCCCCCCCCCCGGCCCCCCCCCGGGGGGCCCCCCGCCCCCCCCCCCCCCCCCCCCGGCGCCCCCCCCCCCCCCCGGGTGCGGCGCTGGCATCGCCCGCGTCCCCCCCCCGGGCCCCTCCCGTGCCCACCCGTGCCCACCTGAGCGGTGTTGGGGCCGGGGGGGACGCGGCCCTGTCCGTCCCCGTCCCCGTCCCGCGTCTGCCGCGCCCGACCCGGGGGGGGGCCAAGGGTCACCCCGGAGCTGCTCCCGGTGCCGGGAGGGGCCGCGGGGAGGGCCCTGAGGGCGGGGAGGGGGGTCCGGGTCCCCCCCCAGTGCGGGGCAGGAGCGGGCGAGGCGTGGGCACAGCTCGACCTTTATTGACGCGCACCCCGAGGGTCGCGGGTGCCGCGGGTGGGGGGCACAGGGCGGGGGGGCCGCGGACCCCCGGGCACCGCTCAGCCCCGGCCCGCCCGGGACCCCCGAGCACGGGGGGGGCTCCGGGACACCCCCCGAGGCACACGAGTGGGGGGCAGCGGGGCCCGGGCACCCCCTCCGAGCCCCCGGGGGGCTGCGCGGGGCTGTGGGGCCGGGCCCCCCCCGCCGTTCCCGACCGCGGCGGGGCTGGAGGGAGGAGGGTCCGGGGGAGGGTCCCCCCGTTATCTCTTGCTGCTCCTCCGCGTCTCTTTGCCGTTGCTGACGGGACCGGAGGCGGGTCCGGGGTGCCCGGGCTGGCTGCGGGTGATGCGGCCGCTCGGGGGGTGCGCGGGGGCGCTGGGGGGGTGCGCGGGGCCCCCCGGGCTCAGCCCGTTCCCGTTCTGGCTGTCGGGGGCTGCGAGAGAACCGGCAGGGAACGGTGGAGCCGAGCCCGGGGGTCTCACGGGGTGGGAGGGGATCCTGCGGCCCCAGGGTGGGGAGGGGGCTGCGTGACCTACCTGGGGGGGGCTGCGGGGGGGCCCTGGGCGGTCTGTGGGGCAGAGGCACCGGCGCTCTCGTTCTGGGCCTGTGGAGGAGGAGATGGAGACCCCCGCGTGCTGCAGAGCCAGGGGGCTGCCCTGGGGGGGCCGAGGGGGTCCTGGCAGTGCCAGCCCAGCCCCCTCCCCAGCCCGGGACCCCCCTCCCGGCCCGGGACTCCCCCCTCAGCTCACCCCTTTGCTCTGCGACTGCTGCGCCACGTACTCGGGGTTGGGCTCGCTGAAGTTGGGCACCTCGGAGTACACCATGCAGAACCTGCGGGCACAGAGGGGCCGTGGGGTCCCCCCGCGCCCCCCCAACCCCCCCCCCGCCCGGGGGGGGCCCCCCCCACCCCGTCCTTACTCGCCGATCTTCTGCAGGTCCCCCCCGCGCCCCGTGTAGAGGGTCAGGCAGCCCTTGAAGACGGAGGCGTAGCTGAGGAGGAGGAGGAGGAGGAGGAGGAAGGAGGGGTCAAGGCGGGGTCCCCGCAGGGTCGGGGGTCCCGGGCGCCCCCCCCGAGCCCCCCCGGTACCCCTTGGTGAGGCGGATGATGTCCCCGGGCTGGATGAGGTTCCCCACATCGTCCCACACCGAGATGTTGATGCTGCCGGTCTTGTCGGCCACTTTGCACGTTCGCACCTCGTGCCCGTCCTTGGTCTTCGTCACCCGGCCTGGGGGGGACGCGCGGGGTCAGGGGGGACACGCGGGGCCGGGGGGGACCCCCCTCCACCCTCACACCCACCCGTCTCCAGCACGATGAAGATGAGGTTGAGGTTCTTCAGCCCCGGTTTCACGTCCTTCACCAGCGTCTCGGTGCTCATGGTGCCGGCGGGACCCTGCGGGAGGAACGGGGGGGTACCGGGGATGGGGGGACACCGGGGACGGGGGGGACACCGGGGACGGGGGGCACGGGGGGACACCGGCTGTGTCACCCCCGGGGAGGGGGCCCAGGACATCACTGCTGGGACGGGGAGCACAGGGATGGGACCACCCGGGGATGGGACCGGGACACCGGGGATTGGGACACCGGGGATGGGACACTGGAGACGAGACCACCGGCCTCGGGACCACCGGGGACAGCAGGGACGCGACACGGGGGGGGCATCGCTGCTGAGGACGGGGACCGCGGGGACGGGACCACCGGGCTACGGGGACACCGGGGACGGGACCGCGGGAACGAGGCACCGAGCGCGGGACCGCGGGGACGGGACACCGGGGGGGGCATCACCGCCGGGAACGGGACCACCGGGGCTGAGTGCGGGGACGCGGGGGGACGAGACCGCTGGGACGGGGCCGCCGGGACACCGGAGACGGGACCGCGGGGACGGGAACTACCCACGAGCGAGACTCCGGGGCCACCGGGACCGGGAGCAGGAGCGGGATCGGGAGCACCGCCCTCCGTCCCGCCCCGCCGCCAGGGGGCGCCCGCAGCCCCCGCCGCGCGCGCTCACCGGGCACGCTCCCGGCAGCCCCCGGACACTGCCCCGCGCAGCCAATCAGCGCGCGGCGGGGCGGGTGACGTACAGCTGTTCCAACCAATAGCGATCCGTGGAGGGCGGGGCTTAGCCCGGCTCACCCCGCGGAGCCCCGCCCCGACCAGCGAGTTGCCGCTCGCGCGGGGCCGGAGCGGCGCTTCCGGCCCGGCAACTTCCGGCGCGGCGGGGCCGGGCGGGGGGGACCCGGTGGAAGCCGCGGCCGCCCCTGAGCCCGGAGCGGCCCCGGAACGGCCACCGAGTGGCCCCGGAACGGCCCCCGAGAGGCCTTGGTCCGGCGGCCGCGGTACGTGGGGCGGCGGGAGGGAGGCCCCGTGGGGAGAGCGGGGCCCGTGGGCGGCGTTCGGGGCTCCCGGGGCGGGGGGGGCGCGATGCGACCCCGGTAGCACCGGGGGGAGCGGGCGGTGGTCCGGGGAGGGGCCGCCGGGGCTCGGGGCTGGGGGAGGCCGGACCTGGTGGGGAGTTCGTGTGGTGGGGAGTGACCCCCCCGCCCCGGCCGTGAGAGCCCCGGGGCCGGTCCCGGTGCCGGTCCCGGTGCCGCTGGAGCCCCGTCCCGGCGGGAGGAGGAGAATCCCCGGCCTTGCTCGCGGGGCCGCGCGCGGACACCGGGAGCGAAACGACGCCCCCCGGGGCCGGTCCCGGCGGGGATCAGCGGCGTGAACCGGCCCCGGACCCACCGGGGCGGCTGCGGGGGAGAACACGGGCCGGGCGGAGGGAGAGAGGAATGTGAGGGACAATCCCAGGGAATGTGGGAACAATCCCAAGGAACGTGGGGGACAGTCCCAGGGAATGTGGGAACAATCCCAAGGAATGTGGGTGGACAATCCAAAGGAACTTGGGGAACAATCCCGAGGAATCTGGGGGATGTGGGGAGCACACCTGCCCCTGGTCCCTGGCACAGAAGCCCAGCAGTGTTTGGGAAGCAGAGGGAAGGCAGGAATTAAGCAGCACCCGAGCAAAGCCTTGTTTTCAGGAAGGGCATTTTTTGCCATGATTTTAAGCGATAAACGTGAAAATGCCCCAAAATTCAGCAGCCCCAGGGCAATTCTGGTGCCTCAGCAATAATGGTGTCAAAGGTTCTGGTGCCCAAACCCCCATGGCAGCACCACCCAGGCTGTTCCTGAGCTGGTTTTTCCCCTCGTTGCCATGACCAGGAGCTCAAACCAAAATAGTTTTTCCCGTTCTGTCGATTTTTCGCAGCGAGGGAGAAAAAAAACTTGGATTTGTGTCAGGAGATGTTTTTTTTTTTTTTTAAGAGGCATTTGGGGAAACTGGTATTTTTAGCGGGACTTTGTCACTGCAGAGCTGAGGCTTCTCCCAATGGGCTGGTGTCTGTGTCCCTGCCCTGTGGATCCAGCTGGGAACGGGGCTGGAATTCCCAAAGCCAAGGGCCACAGGGAAACAGGGATGTGGATCCGTGTCATTCTCATGTTCGGGGGGGCACGAGGGCTCTCCAGGGCTGCTTTGGGGCTCTGAAGGGACCCTCGTTCTTCCCACTGAAATCAGAAATCCCCGGAGGCAAATGGCGGGTTGGGATGCAGTGGGAATTCTCTGCCTCTGGCCCCTCATCCCTCATGTCCACGGTGGGATCGGCACCTTCTGGGCGATCCACGGCTCCTCCACAGGTTCTCCATCGTTTTTTGGAGAGTCTCGAAGGCTCTTCAGGAAATTCCAGCTCCTTTCCCACGTGGCTGGAGGGGGGCGAGGGACAGGGCGCGGCCTCCACCTCCTTCACCATCCTCATCCTCCCTCCCTTCTCTGTTCCCCGGGATCAGCTCCGTCCTGACTCCGGCGCGGGGCCCCCGAGGAAGGTTCTGGGCTGTGGAGGAGCGAGGGGAAAGATGGGCCTTTGGGAGAGGGTCCCTGCACAGAGTGAAGCCAGCCCAGCCCTGCGCCGCTCCGGGAGGAATTCTGCCACGGGAGGTAAGGCAGGGCCCTCTCCCAGCCTCCCTTCCCCGTGGGAATGGCATCAATCCTTCCCCCACAGCTCCCTGCAGCAGTTCAGTCCTCCCTCCACGCACAGAGAGCCCTGGAATGGTGGCTGCTCCTGGGTCTCGCTCCAAAAAGCTTCGGTGTAAATCAATATCCACGGGGAAATAGCGAGATCTTCCTTGAATTCCGGAGGTTTGACAGAAATCCTGCCAAACTGGCTCAGGAACTGCCCCTGCCTGGTTTCTGTGTCTTGTATTTCACGTAGAAGGAGCCGGGCAGACCTGGGAATTCCCAGAGGATCCCTGGGACCGGCAGGGAAGGGGTTTTGTTAACGAACCTCCGGGTGGATCCGGAGCTCTGGAGCTGCATCCCGAGGGCTGGAGGGATGCAGAGCCACCTGCTGATGTTTGCACAGCTGGAATTGCTGCCCTGCCACGGGGGTTTCAGAGCCTGGCCAGGGCTCCCCGTGCCCTCACACCCCTCCTGTCCCTGCCAGCTCCTGTTTGGATTTGGGGTGGGGACTCCTTTATGGGGCTGCAGGGGTCGGACACCGCCTTTGATGTCGTGAGAACGGGGCAGGAGGAGCAGAGGGCCCCGTAACTGCCGGGGCAGAGCTCAAGGCCAGCCCTGGCAGGGAGTTGAGGGGTTGGAGAAGGGAATTACCTGGCACTGCCATCCTTGGCAGGACGTTCCCTCCTCCCAGGGAGGAGCCGGTGCCGTCGTGTGAGGCTGGCGAGGGTCTGGCTGCACCAGGAACGGTCCCTGGCACGTGTCCCACCTCAGCAAACCAAATAAACCGTGCAAAACAACCCCCAGGCCAAACCCCAACCACCACCAAGGGGAAAATTGCGTCAGGATTGGGAATTTCAGGTGGAAGCAGCAGCCTTGGGGCAGCTCCGGGCACACAGAGGGGGCCGAGACCCTTTTCCCCCCCTCATAGATCACCTTGTGAGAGCTCCAGGTGTGCCTGGGGGGGGAGAGAGCAGGAATTTGGGCAGCAGAGGGGTGGGATGTGCCCTGGGCTGCTCCCCTGAGCCCCTGTCCCCCCTGCAGGGTTCTGGCAGCGGTGACGAGCGATGGGGTATGATGTAGCTCGTTTCCAGGGGGACGTTGATGAGGACCTTATCTGCCCCATCTGCAGCGGGGTCCTGGAGGAGCCGGTTCAGGTAGGTCCCACCTCAGCACCGAGTTTGGCTGCTGGAAGGCTCTGGTGGCAGCCCCAGGCTCGTGGATGCCTGGGTCAGGTGATGGGCTCCCTGGATCCTGAGCTCTCCTGGGAAGGGTTGTGGGTAGCACGGGAGAGGAACCAGCACCAGGGATGAAGCTCCGTGTTCCCAAAATCTACTCCCCCTCCCCAGTCCTGAGTGCTCTCAAGTGCAGTTTGGACACAAGAGCAGAGCCTGTCTGTGTAAACACAGCCAAGTGATGTTTTAATCTGGGAAAACGATGAAATTTAGGAGCTCGAGGAAGGCCTGGAGGTGACACTTGGTGCTCTGGGCTGGGGGACCAGGCGGGCATCGGGCACAGCTCGGGTTTGGTCTGGGAGATCTTTTCCAGCCTCAGGGACCGGGCACAGCTCGGGTTTGGTCTGGGAGATCTTTCCCAGCCCACGAGTGACCCGTGGCCGTGTCCTCCTGCCCCTCCCCAGGCTCCCCACTGCGAGCACGCCTTCTGCAATGCCTGCATCACGCAGTGGTTCTCGCAGCAGCAGACGTGCCCCGTGGACCGCAGCGTGGTGACCGTGGCCCACCTGCGCCCGGTGCCGCGGATCATGCGGAACATGCTGTCCAAGCTGCAGATCACCTGCGACAACGCCGTGTTCGGCTGCACGGCCGTCGTGCGCCTCGACAACCTCATGTCTCACCTCAACGACTGCGAGCACAACCCCAAGCGCCCGGTGACCTGCGAGCAGGGATGCGGGTGAGGAGGGGACGGGGGGGGGTTTTGGAGGCTGTGGTGCTGCAGGAGGGGTGGGGAGGAGCTGTTGGCTCCTTCAAGGCCCCGCAGAGAGACCTTGGCAAACCTGAGACATGGGCAATCACCAACCATATGAAGTTCAAGTGCTGGATTCTGCCCTGGATCTACGGACAGACTGGGGAATGAGGTGCTGGAAAGCAGGGACCTGGATTGGAGATAGTGGGATCTCCTTGGGGGAAGTCAGAACCTGGATTGGGCCCGTGGGCTGTCTGGTTCTGCTCCCTGATCCCTTTGGAGGAGGAAAATCCCCATCCCACGGCACTGTGGCGGTGGTGGTTTATTCCCAGAACTCTCCCCAGACCATTTGGCACGGCAGGGCCTTCCCACACTCCTCAGGGGTATCTGAGCTGGTCCCACACGCCTGGATCAGCTCTGGGAGCTGCTCACACGCCGGTGCCAAGTGCTTTGCGTGCAGCTTCCCCTGACGCGGGGCCTCCACGTTCTCTCCTGGCTCTTGGCAGCTTGGAAATGCCCAAAGACGAGCTGCCCAACCACAACTGCATCAAGCACCTGCGGTCGGTGGTGCAGCAGCAGCAGACCCGGATCGCCGAGCTGGAGAAGACCTCGGCAGAGCACAAGCACCAGCTGGCCGAGCAGGTGGGTCCAGCTGTGCCAGGGTTCCCCTGGTCCCCGTGGGGTGCCCGGACACCAAAATGCCAAAAAAAAAAGGGGCTGGAGAGTGGCCTGGGCTGAGTGTGGCTGGGGTTCTGGGGGGGCTCTGTGGGGCCCCGGCGGTGACTCCGTTCCCAAATCCCACCTTTCCCTGCCCTGGCAGAAGCGGGATATCCAGCTGCTCAAGGCCTACATGCGGGCGATCCGCAGTGTCAACCCCAACCTGCAGAACCTGGAGGAGACCATCGAGTACAACGAGATCCTGGAGTGAGTCCTGGGACTGGGGAGGGGCTGAAGTGCCTTCTGACGAGAAGGAAATGGTTCACAAGAGGGGAGTTTGTGCTGGGGGTGGCACGTGAGCTGCTCACACAATGGGTCTGGAGTGTTATTGTTCCACCTGCATCCTG